AAAAAACACACCAATCAGACTGTGTAAGGGGACACAATTGTTGGAAACATGTTGCTCACAGTGTGAAGCTTCAGTAATTTTGGCACTTTTATCAACAAAGCCCTGCAGAAGCATCAACATCTGTCTGTCTTTCTTTCTGACAGATGATCAACTCTAAGTTAGAGAAGGCTGAGTTCATTCAGAAGCGGATGCAGACATTTCTTACACTGGAATCAGAGGTCAGTGAAAGCATCTCTCAGCACACAGAGGTAAACATGGACACATGTGATGCTGTCATCCTCCCAATGATCACAGACCTGTGCACTTATATTCCTGCAGTTTTGTCCAGCAGCAGCTTCTGTGTCATTAACCAAACACAACTTTGAAATCCTACAACTGCAAGATTGTTGACATCTTGACATACAGCTTTAATGTGACTCTGGTTTTGTTTCATTATTGTGTCTGAAGCATGAACTTTTTTTCTTCTGCTCTTTCTTCGTGTAACATTTCAGCTGCAGTTAGAGAAGAATACTGAAAACATCGATCAGCTCAAGCAGGTGAAAGAAGCATCAGAGGACCTGAAGAATCAGCTGGAGAACAAAAATCCAGAGGTTTGTCTTTCAGTTATAAACATTGTGAATTTGCTGATTCAACTCTCTTTGTGAAAAGTATAATTGTAAACATCAGTATTTACTCACCATCAGACTCAACTGTATAAATAAACTAATCTAAATCTAAATGTCTAAAATATGAGAAAAAGAATTTATGATATACAAACTGTGGATCTCAGTAAATGAACACAGTCTTTAACCGAGATTTTGTGGATGTGGCAAAAACAGGATGATACACTGTAAAAAATGCTCCACATCAAAGAAGAAAAAAGTCTGCCCTAAAATCAATGTGTCATCAAATTTGATATGTAGGAGTCTGAAAGGGCTGAATATTTATATGTTCTTATGTTAATTTAATCTTCTAAACTGACAGCATTTTGTGCTTTTGAAATTTGAGCTTCTATATTAAATATTGATGTTATCACACACCTGATCAAATAGCAGTAAGTGAAGTGAGATTTAAAGCTTCTGTTTATTGTTGCATTTGATGTGATTAACTGTGTGTGAAGAGACAAAGACAAGAGTGAGAATATTGCTCAGGTTCATTTCATTAAAGATACAGGATCCTTGTTAAAGCTGTGATTTTGTTTACGTTCATTATTATTCTACAAACCTTAAACAGACAGTAACACAAATAAATGTGCTTTCAGACTTTAGAGTATATGAGACTTGTGTGGTTGAAGGTCATAAGCTGGAACAGAGTAGCAGCAACCAGCAGTAGTCGTATTTAAATAAAATGTCTAAAAAATGAAGTGATTTTAGTTTCTGTGTGTTTAAACATGTTGCTCACACTGTGGAGCTTCAACAATTTTGTCACTTTATCAACAAAGTGCTGAAACATCAACATCTGTCTGTCTTTCTTTCTGACAGATGTCCAAATCTGAGACGGAGCTGGATGAAATCATTCAGAGGCTGACGCAAACATTTCCTACACTGGAATCAAAGGTCAGTGAAAGCATCACTCAGAAGAATGGTGGTGGGGGG